AAGGCCTTGACCTGCTTCGCCAGAAGCTGCTGCTGAATGTGCTGCTGAGCAGCCTGCTGCAGTTTGCTGTATTTCTCCATTTCTTCGGGAGTAAAAGTGATGGGCTGGCTCTCCAGCGGTGCTAGGGAGGAGTCTTCTCCTCCTTCCCGGTCCCCTTCAATGCTTGGCTCCCCGCTCTGAGGCACGTAGCCAGGAAAGTGCTCAACATCTGGAACTAAGGGCATCATACTGGTTGAATGTGCTGCTGAGCAGCCTGCTGCAGTTTGCTGTATTTCTCCATTTCTTCGGGAGTAAAAGTGATGGGCTGGCTCTCCAGCGGTGCTAGGGAGGAGTCTTCTCCTCCTTCCCGGTCCCCTTCAATGCTTGGCTCCCCGCTCTGAGGCACGTAGCCAGGAAAGTGCTCAACATCTGGAACTAAGGGCATCATACTGGTTTCCACTGGGACAGGCTGGTTGCCCCCATCGATAGGTTCTAGCCCATCACCATCGCTCGGATCCGAGAGGAAGTTGTGTGGCATGACCAGATCTCCGGAACTGAAGCACTCGGGGAGCGCCGGTGCTTCGAGAGGAATGGACGGCATTTCCACAGCGGGTTCATCACGTTTCTGCTCATCCAGAGGTTTGTCCTGAATGACCATCACCACTTCCTCCAGGAGAGACTGGCCGGCCAGCTGAGCCTCCTCCATGCCTTGGGAAACATCCTCGCAATCCGACAGCTCTTGCTCCTCGCCCCTCTCCAAGCCAGACTCTTCGTATCTTTTGGCGTTTGGTTTTCGAACGGTTGGCAACTTCCCAATCAGGGGCAGAACGGGTTTGTTCCCTAAGGAAGGGGGCAGCTTGGGGCCAAAGTAGCCCTGGGGAGGATCTTTGAGCTTTATGCCCACCTTGTTTGCCCCTGCCAGCACCTCGTCAGTGACACAGGGCTTCTTCTCAACCTTCCTGGATTGAATCTTTTCCAGGAGAAGTTTTGCAGTGACGGAGTTTCTCTCCTCTGGACTGCAGTCGCCTTCCGAGGCCCGCCCCGTGCCGGAGCCGCTGCTGTTTTGGGAGAGCGAGCCAGATCCTTTCGGATCCTCTCCTTTGCCATCCTCTTTCTTCAGCGCTGAGCCTTCGCCTCGGCCGGCCCGGAAATAGTGAGGAGACTGCGAGCGGTAGATTTTGGACCTGATGAAGTCTCTTCTCCCAGGTCTCCTCTCCTCAGGGCTCTCGTGGCCTCGGGAGCCCTTTCGCG